CTGCCCTCCTCCCGCTTGGGATCCCCCCGCTCTTCTCGGTGCCCGGCTGGTCCCTGGCCTGGCCTAGCCAAGAGCATCTTCAGCCAAAGCTGCAGCCTCCCGCCAGCGGCCCCTCCCGTTAACTGGTGGTGGGTGGGTTCCTGCTCTAGTCGAAACGATTTTGGTAGATTTTCGTGTTTTTTTGTTTGTTTTTTTTTTTAATTTATTAATCTGTGCCCCCAGTTTCTCGTCTGTGAACTACTGTTTCCCTCTCTATACCCCTTGGAGTCTTGCGCAGCGATTTCGGATTTATGCTACCCCAGCCTTTCATTCATTTCCAGATCGCTGGTATGGGGCTGCAGAAAATGAGCAGGAGGAGAAATAGTTTACTTCTTTATTGACCTTCTGCCTTCCTCCTTCAGATCCAAGAGTGATTTTGAGAAAATGGCTTATGGATGGGCAGCAGTTTGCACTTGTTACCATTTACTGTAATAGAATTTTAACTGGAGAGTCCATTTAAAGTTGTGGTCTTTCTCAAGCTGTATTTGGGTCACGTTTTATGATTCCTTGTGAGTCAGTGGAAGATGTCTGTATCTCTAGGGCTGAGAGAACCTGACCGGTTATTACTTGAAAAATACTGCAGTATAGCAGTCCATAAAAGTACAGAGGGGAAACAAAATCAAGGTCATTGTGGGTGGTTCATAAATCATAGTGTAAAGTTACATACAGTCTGAAATAAAGAGGACTGAGGATAGTTAAGGGCAAGTTAAAAAGATGTGTCAAATGGATCCTCAGCCTAGTATGCTAATATGTGTACTTTAAAAAATTAACTACCTACCTCGTGGCGGTAATAATAATAATAACAGTAATAATAACCATAGCGTAGTATGTGCCTTCCCTGGACAAAAATGCATTGGTGTAGTAACTTGTTTAAAGCTTTCCAAATCTTTAGATTTTATTTATTTTAAAGATGAAATCAGATAGGTGTTTTATTTGCATTAGATTGTGCTTTGTGTCTTAATAGCTAAAAGATTTTTGAAGAATAGATGAGGTGAGAAATCAGTCAAAAGAACCAAATGAGATTTGGTGTTGTGGAAAGAGAAACTAGATTTTAGTACCGTTGCTGTCACCGTCTAGCTGTGGGATCATGAGTAGGTCAGTGACCAATGCCTTTTTTTCATCTATACAATTAGGGAGTCAGACTAAATTCTGTAAGGTTTATGCACTTTTCCATGCTTACCTGGCATACGCTATGTTTGTAAATAATTTAAGACCCTTTAACATTTTTAGAATACATTTAAAACATTTACTTGAAGAAGTACCAGTAAAATTATAGCAAAATATAAGTAAAAAAATATACAATTCCATGCTTTTGGAATAGTGTTTGGCATAGTACTATTCTAGAATTCCTCATTTGGGATGTAAAGCAATAAAATTATATTAGGTCCCTTCGAACTGTTGGTATTTCTGTTAAACTTAACATACTTTAGAAACTGTATTTGGAATAAACGAAATAGAGCATATGTTAGATAAAATGATGACTGTGTTGCATTGCTTGTCTCAGGGGTGTTTAATAAGATAAATTTAAGCATTTTAAAATGCATACACATAATCATCAGCTTAACAGGTTGGTTCTAAAACAGCAACTAATCAGTGAATCATAAAAGTTTTACTTATTTCCCCATGGCCTCATTTTTTTTTTAATTCATAGGGACTGATTCAGAACTTGTAGAAAAGGGCATGGATAAAATAATGCCATGTATTAGTGAAGAAATGAATTGAGAAGTCTAGTAATGTGTCCATGGAGGTTTTTTTTTGGAGTTATAATTAAGTGTGAGCCAATCAAATCTTTTTCAGCACAGAAGGCTACATAGTGGTGGTATCATTACTACCAGGAATAACAGGGAATGCAGAGGAAAAGCTATTTTTATTACCAGAAAGTTGTTCCCTAAGCTCAGTTTTACTTTCTATGAAGGAATGAAGGTTTTTTATATTACTTTAGTAAAATAGTAGGATTGAGATTCCACTTTTCAAATGTACTAAATACAAGTGGCAGTTTAGCCTCTAGTAGAATAATCAGTGCATTGATACCTCTTATTAAAATGGAAAATGTTTGAACTGTTTTGAGTTGGTAAAAAAATATAGGTGAAAGACAAGAAAGGAAAAACACCAGTCTTTCTTATTGTCAGGATAGTGATCTTTTGGCTAACAATCATTGGTAAATTGAGTTAGCCTAGTTTAAAAATCACATCTTCATGGACATGAAGTAGCACTGCTCACATTTTCACAAAGTCTTTCTGGAGAACTCAGTGGTTGAATCAGAATTCCCTACTTTAATTATGCGTTATTCATTGACTTATGAAATTAGGTTCTGATTTTCTTCCATGCTTCATTCCATAATTCATCAGTCCTTCTGCTTTTACTTGAAAAAGATTTAATTTACAGGCTTTAGTTCAGTCTCTCTATTTTAGATCGCATTTCTGTTTTTGGTTTACTGCTTAAAAAGATCTTATGCCAACATGTGGAAATACAACCTCCCTACATGCTTGTAGTATGATACTAGTTGAAAAGCTGTCCTATCTGAGGTTTCTCATCTCTGACAAGTAGTTCTCGGACTTCAGTATTAGAGAAAGTTGGTAGCTGGGGTATGGTTAAATTGTATCACCACTTTAATCATGGGGACCCAGATCCTTTTTCATTCTGTAGTTTGTAAGACTAGAAGTAAAACTCCTTCTTAAATTTCCCTTCCTCTCCTCTCTCCCACTCCTCTTTAAAGTTATCATTTTTGGAGGTGCCAGGCAATTTCTCATTTAAGCATGACAGCAACTGAACTAATATTATGATCACCATTTTACAGATAGCTAATATGAAGCTTGAAAGGAAACTGAAGCTTATAGTTAAGAAAATTTGAGATATTCTTTGTTATCCCCAAAATCTTTTGGATTTTTAAGCCTAGTATTGCTTCTATACCATATAGATGAGATTTGATTCAGTGGTGGTAGTGATATTGTTGAACTAGATGAAGTGCTCATCTTGTTTTGGATGCTATGGCTGCAGTGTAGCTCAAATAACTATAAATGTAAAGTAGGATTTTTCTTTGATTTTAAGCCAGTGAGTGACTGGGGTTTGACTCATAGATGATTGACCTGTGCTGTTACCTAATAATATTACTGACAGAAACTGTTACGCTGAAACATTAGGAAGCCACCCTAGAGTCATAGTCTTAGCAGCATTATTGATCTTGCCCATGCTTCAGAACATTTTGTTGTACCAGCTCCTTTACTCTCTCATTCCATATTTTGTCTCTAAGAAACAAAGGTGCAGCTAAGGAAACCACGATAAATTAGCTTAGAAAGTTAGAGTAGAAACAAATTACATTTCACAATCTAACAGTCATAGACCATAGAAAATTGACCCTGGGAGAAAATTATTTTTTTATATATATTATTTTATATGTGTGTGTATAAAAATATAAAAATTTTATGTGTGTGTGTATAAAAATATAAAAATAATTTTATATGTGTGTGGAAATAATTTATATATATATTTTTATACACACACATACATATATGGAATAGAAATGAAATGATAATGATCTTGATGTATTTTTCACATCCTCAGTATATCATAGTTTCTCAGTGCTATGGTAAGCAGTATGCTTAATAAACTCATAACTTATCCTTTATTTCCTGTCTTGGAGAATGGTACTATCCTTCTCCCAGTCCCTAAGTCAAAAGCTTGGGAACCATTCTAGAATGTGAACCATTTGCTTCCAACTGTTCACCAACTCCTGTCACTTTTACTCATTAAGTTCTTAATTGCCTTTTTCCAGTGTGCCTCCTGTTTTAAGTGTTTCTTCCTCATCCCCTGCTCTCCCCCACACCCCTTTTAAGTTACCACTTTTGGGTACTTACCATGTGCTCTCATTTCTCATCTAGGTAACTAGTAAGCCTAGCTTATTTCATGTAGTCAGTCTTGGAGCTTCCAAGTGTTGCTCTTCTTTCCAGAATGCAAATTTCATCATGGCATTCTTCTGCCTAAAATCTTTTGGTGGTTTCCCTCTGTGTTCAGGGTGAAGTCCAAGCTCATTGACATAGTTTAACAGTGTGTTTCACTCTTAGATCATGCTCTGCTTGTGGGTCATGAAATATCAGAGTACATCACATATTGGAAGGGTAAATATCATTTTATTAAACTTTTTTGGTTATATATTTCATACATATGAAATACATACTTATGTATCTCATATATTCCTGTGTGTACTGGTAACATTACAAAATATATTTCTTAAGAGTTGATTGAGGTCAAACGGTTAGATATGTTTTTTACCATTCTTTCATATGCAATGATTCTAGTCATTTCAGTTTAATTGGCTTTTCTGCCTGCTTTTATACCTTTGCTTATTTGCTCCCTCATTCAGAAGAGCTACCTGCCAGTCTTCATATAACTAATTCAAAAATTTCACTCTTTGGATATTTTTTTCCTGATGGCAACTTACCGTAATAAATACATTCGTATTGCAACCTAGTATACACATAAATATTCACATAAGGAAAGTTCCATGAAACAATAACCTTCCTGTATGAGATGCTTTCTTGCCCCCTTGCCTTCTATCTTACTTCATCTTACATGATATTGATCTGTCTTCACTGAGGTTAGGGCTCCTCCCTTTTATATTTATACCCAGTGCCAAGGTGTAGCATACAGTCAATAGATGTCGATTAAATTAATGAAATACTGAATTGGTATGTTATCTAGGACTCTTTACAATATTGTTTAAGCTTGAACTGTAGAAGCTAACTTTTATGGTTGCTTCTCAATGATTTTATTACAGGAGGGTAACTTTTTTCTTTAAAACTTTAAAACTAAAAATTGTTTCTATGTTAAATTCTTTATATTTATCAATTGTGACTGCATAGTTCTAGCCTCACATCATGATAGACATTACATTGCATTTTGTCACATCAGTGATCTCAGAATTGATTATCATTTGTGATTTGTGGTCAGCAAGTTTGATGAAGTCCAAATGCTGGACACATAATGCTAATTTGTTTTTATGGGAACTGAGTGGTTTCAAAGGAGAGAACTTTTATGTATAACGGTAATCAAATGCAGATTTGGGGGGATGGGGTGAGATATGAAAGCACAGAATCAGGTGGAGTTGAATCATCTTATTTCTGAATATTTAAAACTTTGTAAATGACATTTTCACAGGATATTTAGTTACTTACAATTTTCCTTTGTGAAAGATAATTATTTATTAAACCATTAATAGATTCTCATGGAGAACTGTTATTGAAGAGAGAGATCCATTTGTTGGAATGTAATAAAAAAGAATGAATCAAGACAAAACCTCTAAATGCAAGCACCAGAAAAATTACAACATATCACAGTGAATTTGCAAGTGGTAAGTCTGCATTTAATTTTACATGGGAATATGTTTGTGAATTATGTGGCATGATATCTTTAAAGTCTTACGTTTAGATGTGTTTAACAATTGTTCATTTGCAAAATAAAATTATGTTTATTTAAAAGTTTTTTTTTTTATTAAATTTTAACTAGACATTTTCTTAGATAAGGCTTTTTCCATAGAGAAAAATAATCTATAAGTAATACAGTTTTAGAAACATCTTTCTGGATTATGAATCTTATATGGCTTTACAGCTGATGCTCCTACACTGCATTTTAAAAAATATTAATTTTAAAAGCATATAATTTAAGAATAATATGTAGTGATAAGAGAAGCTTCAATTAAACACTTTGTTTGTAAGGTTGTACTGTCTAATCAGACCCCATAGGCTATCTTTATATTTCTGTTGGGTGAAAAGAATTTAGAACTACATGTGTTTATTAATAAACTTAGAAGAACACATAAATACATACATAAAATGTGAAAGCCTTCCTTCTCATTGCTCTTTCTTTCCTCTGCTCAGTGATAACTACTGTGAACAGTTTAATAGATGTGTTCTTTCACACTTTTTTCCTATACATATATAGAAATTACTTATACATATATTTTTTCTATCAAAAAATTACATTATACAAATATTTCTATAACTTACTTTCTCCTCCAACATTTAATTATGAAAAATTTTAACAGGAGAGTAAAAGAATTATTTAGTATAACATCCGACTACCTATTACCTACATTAACAACTAATATTTTACTGAACTTTATCACATACTCATCCATCCCTCTGTTCATCTGTCAATCCATTTTAATTTTTTTGGATCCATTTCAAAGTAAATTGCAGACATCGATACATTTCCTCCCCTTTCTTCCCAATACTTCAGCATACATATCATTAACTAGAGTTCAGTGTTGGTTTACAGGGTTTTTAAAAAGGTAAATTTACATACCATGAAATGCACCAATCTTAAGAGTATGTTTACTGAGCTTTGACAATTCATAACTTCTGTATCTCAAACTCATATCGAGATAGAGATCACTATCAGACACTGCAGAAAGTTCCCTATGCTCTTTCCCAGGCTATCTGTATCCTCCCTCCCTTCAGGAAACCACTGTTAAGATTTTTCCCCTCCACCATAGATTTTGCCTATGTAACTTATTTTTCTTCACTCCAGTACTATGTGTAGGTAGTCATATGAAGATCTAGATCTACCTCTATTTTCCTTTGTTTTTTTTCCTTTTAAAATTGCAGTGGCTCAAAAATAGTCTACCCTATGGATGTGTTATAATTTGATCATTCCCCTGTCTTTACGGGGACATTTAGGTTGTGCCATATTTTTGTGATTGTGAAAAGTGCTTTATAGAACATTCTTATATGTATATATACCTGTCTACTCTAGTGAGTATTTTGTAGGTATTACTAGAAATAAAACTGGGTCAAAGAGTTTAACATTTTAATAGATACCGTCAGATTGCCTCCAAACGATTGTATCAGTGAAAGTGTACGAAAGTGTCCTTTTTCCTCTGCCTCCTCAACATTGGGTTTCATCTATCTTTCTAAAAATTTTTCAATACAAAAGATGAAAAATATGCCTAGTTATTTCACATTTTCCTAATCACTAGTGCTTAGTCATTGGATTTTTTTCTTTTCTGAATTGTCTCTATGTATTTACTTTGTATGTCTCTTATTAGTCATATGTTATATTATTTTTTCCAGAGATGCTTTGTCTTTTAACTTTGTTTTTGATGTGTTTCGGAACTTCAGAGCTTCTTTCTTTATGTGGTCAAATTTGATTTATGGGTCTTATTTGTGAACACCTTCCTCATTACAATATTATAAAACCACATGTTATTTTTCTATTAGTTTTGCTATTTTTAAATTTGGAATTTAGAAGAGAAAGAAAAATCACTGTGAACTGAGGTACCAGGAACATTTTCATATGGAGAGTGAGATTCAAATTGACCTTAAAGTATGAGTTGAATTTAGAGTAAGCAAAATGGTAAGGTCATTTCAGATAGGAGAAATATGAGAGGGAATATATTTTTCATATTCATGGAGCAGTGATAAGACTACTGGCTGAGATGGCTGATAAAACTGTATATTTAAAGATATATATTTGACGACTAGATTTCTTGTCAATTATTTTGGCTAACTTTTACCATTTTCTAAAATCTGTATTGTGATGTTACAGTTTTCTATCACTTTAGTTTTATAGTGACTTGAGAATTCTTCCTCAGAAAAATGTGTAGTGAAATTTAGTTGCCTGAAAAGGCAAAAAAGGAAAGGTGGTTTCCTAGCAGAATAGTTTGAACATTGTAAATATTTACATAGTCCAGTTTATTAGAGTTGAATTATAATTTCTTTTTAAAAAAGTTCGTGCTGTAGTAATTTACATCATTAATGAAGTTAGTCACAGCACTCAAGTATAGTTACCAGATAGCAATCTTAAAAAATGTTGAAGTACCAGTATGTCTACTAGTTACATCAAAGTTTGAGTTATGAGCTCACCATTTAATATACAAATTAATATGTTGGAATCTCTAGCTAATGAAAGTATTTTACAAATGCCACCCTTAAGATGAACTAGCAGCATTGCGTTCAGTTCGGTTGTTGCTCAGGATGTGTAATAGTTTCTGTTCAATCATGAGCCACGCCTGGTAGATATTACCTGAGTGGAGTGATCCTGCAACTCTACCAGTTACCTGTTTCTGTTTGAAATCTGATTTGAAGTTCTTGGGAGACTACTGTTTTCTTCTCTACAATCTACTTGTGAAGATTATGTGGCACTAATTTTCACTGATCAGGTATTTAAAGAAATATTCAACATCTTATTTGTTTACTGTTTTATTTTTCTGTCTTTTGCTCACTTGGCTTGGGGATGCTTGTTCATCTAGACTTTGTTGCCTATATATGTTTACATCCAGGAAAAACACAATTTTTAACTATACTTTTCACTGTCTAATATTTTTCTTTTGTGAAGAATCTTCTAGTGATAAGAAAAATTCCTTTTCTGAGAGGAGAATAGAAATAGGATTTAAAAAATGAATGAGTATTTGATAATTTGCTACTTGTTTTGCTGGGTTATTTGCTTTTCTTTTTCTAATATTAATAAATATTAAATTTAGAAATAAGTAATGAAATTACTCTGTTATGTATAATTCATAGACTGTTGTTTAGTACTGAATGGAACTGAACAGTTAAATGAAAGAAGGTATATGAAGTTAATAATATTGAACATGTTGAGAGACAGTCTTCTGTCTTTTAGCACTTGATGGTTGGCAAGATTGTAAACATAAACATTCTTTTTAATGCTTCTCTTTTTAGCTATGTAGATAGTTTATCATTTGTATTTGACCTCCTTTAGTTTTTAAAATAATACCTAGCAAATTAAATAGCATGCTTTATCCTCTGTAACTTTCTTCATTTAAATGTGATAGGTCTTTTAAATTTCGAATTAAAAGGTAATGAAGTTCAAACTTCTTTTAAAGATCTAGGCATGATTCCTATTTTAGAGTTAATATATAGGTACTAACTTAGACCATATCTGATGTAAACAGTTGGGTGGTGTTGTGTTTGAGTTCTTGTCTTTTTTTCTGCTGCCCCAATATTTGTAGATTCTAGGGATGATAGCAAAGGGATATTCTTTTAAAACTAAGTAACTCTTAATTTTTTTTTTTTTTTTTCTTGAAGCTTTGTAGCTTCAAGAACATTGGCAGGGCCTCCAAGAGATGGTACAGAGAAACTTTTCAACTGATGATAATTCTTAGAATGAAATAGTCTGGGAATTAAACTGAAAATTAGGGAGTCATTACTCAACTTTCTTCTGACCCCTAATATCCAATCAATTAGTAAAACTTACTGGATTGATATTAACTATTTCTTCAGTTGATCTCTTCTCTAAAAGTAATTTTGGCTATTGTCTTCTCTTAGCCGAACTGATCTCTGTCTTTAATTTTATCCTCTACTCCAGAGCTTCAATAATTTATTTAAAGTATAAGTTTCATTATGTTAACCCCCTGCTTCAATAGCTCTTCAGTGCCTAAAAATGAAGTCTTAGCTTTCTAACATGACTTCTGTATGTTCTTCATGATTTAGCCCCTTCTTTCTCAACACTCACTCTCCACTGAAAGCTTTGTAATTTATGATGGCAGTTTGTGATAACCTCCTACTATTTTTACTCATATATACCTCCTGCTTTTCCTTCTGTTGGCAGTATTGTTGTCGCTCTTCTTTGCTTAGGTAAATTTTATTCATCTTTTAAGATTGAATTCAGGTTTTACCCCCTACAGGAAGTCTTCCTCTGATTTAACCAGTCCCCATCTTTTGTGCCACTAGTAACACCTTGTCCACGTTTCTGGAACTTAGCGTATTCTATTAAACCCATTTAACGACTCTTTAGACTGTTAATTCTTTTAAGCAAAGACCATGTTTTAGTCATCACTGTATCTATAATCCCTAGCAAGTGACTGCTATATAATGGAGGCTCAGTGAATGTTTGTTGAACTGAGTTCAACTCATTACTGTAACATTGAAGTCTTATTGAAGCTTCTGGATCAGTAATTCCTAGGTATCATCAGCAGTATCAGATACAGTTTGGGAGCATTTTATAGTTTTTGACTTTACACCATAAAAAGTTATGATTCCATAGACCTAGAATGGAGCCTAGGAATAAGTATTTTAAAGACACGGCTCAGTTGATTTTCGTTTGCTTACAGGTTTGAGAAACACTTTGAATTTATTATTGTATTATTCCATTGTAGTTTATGTAAAAGTTGTCCCCTAGACCTTGTACAGTAGTTTGTTATTTAAGCTTTATGTCTACTAAAGTATGAATATTTTTTAAGTCACCTTTTTGGTACCATGGATATAGAAATATCTTAACTTTAAATGGCTAAGTAGGGGGTCTGTTTGCATTTCGTTAACACTCAACTGAAAAAAGCTCCATTTAAATAGGACTCTTCTTGAGTTGATAGTGATAAGAGTAATTGGTCTTTATTCCGTGAATTTAATTATTTTTGGCAATTAGTAATTGCTTTTCCCTTTCTATTACAGTTTTTCAAAATGATTTTCTAGCTTTTCATTACAGTTTAAAATTAAACTAAATTGCACAAATATTAAGTGTACAGCTCAGTGAATTTTTATATATGTGTATACCTATAAAGCACTACCTAGGTCAATATATAGAATGTTTCTAGCCTCTCAAAGATTCTCTCATGTCTCTTTCCAGTTAATATACCCCCTCCCATCACAAGATTACCACTATTTTGACTTGACTGCCCATCGGTTAGTCTCATGATGAAAGCTACGAAAAAAATTTATATTAATATATATATATGTGCACCTCATTTCTCTCGGGTTTATACATGGTATTCTTGGGCTAAGGATAGACTAGTGTTAACTTCAGAAGGTAGCGTCAATTTATATTTTGTGATAACAGTTCATAATGAAAATTGAAATTAAATTATTTGAAGTTTTTGGTGAAGTTTTTAATATCTTTGAACTTCTTTTTGCTTTCCAAAGTGTTTTATTTTGTCAGAAATATACAAAGAAAACTAAATAAGTGTCATTTTATAGTTGCCAGTAATATAGTTTTGTTTTAGTCAAATAATTTTTTCTATATAAGTAACGTTTTTCTTTTTTTCTCTCCTTAGGATCATCTCTCCTTGTGGGTTGGCAGGCAGTTGTAGGACTGCAAAATGGGTCTCCGGATTCACTTTGTTGTTGACCCACATGGTTGGTGCTGCATGGGTTTGATTGTTTTTGTCTGGTTATACAATATTGTTATAATTCCCAAAATTGTCCTCTTTCCTCACTATGAAGAAGGACATATTCCAGGCATATTAATAATAAGTAAGTTTCTAGGTCTTTATTTCTTTATATAATTAAAGATTTTCCTCATTTCGAATGTTTCTAGAGTATAGTGCTACTATGATCTTCCTTTTAATATTATTAGTACTGTTATTACTAAGTTATTTACTAAATTATGGAAGTTTTAAAAAATAATGGACTTTATATTTTTCAGGGTTAGATAAAAGTGATATTTCCGTATGTAACTCTGCAAAATATATAAAGATCATTTTGTTTAAAAAAATCTGGTAACAATAGTGCTAATTTGCATGTGTCTATATTTTTAATGTTTCTGTTATGTATTTATTGCAAATGTAGAAGGAGTTTTAGGACTGAAGATGATATCCATTACTGAGAAATGAGAGTTTCATGATACAAATAGTGATTATGATGTTGATTATAGCACTGAACTTCTGGATAATTTTTTCCTGCTATAATTCGTTGATAATGGCTTGCTTATGATTAAAAGAATAAGTTTGAAATGACATATTTTGCATGTACACAGCATTTACATGTACATTTGTCATTTTGACCTCACAAGAGCTGTGGGAAATACAATCTCTGTTACACAAATGATAAAACTGACCAATACCATGCAGTCAGTGCTAGTTAGCACTTGAACTAAGTTTCCTGTTAAAGGTGCCTTCTTTTTCCCTAAACAAAATGCCTGTTTCTTATTCATTTTAAAGGTGGAATTATACCGTTATTTTTTCTAGTTTTTCATTTTAAAACTTTAAAAAGAGTTTCTAGATTCTTATTTTCAAATTAAATATATTAAGAGCTATCAAAAGGAACAGTTGAACATTACTAATGCAAAGTAATTTTGAAGATAGCCAGTTAGAGCTAATGAAAAAGTTTAATTGTAGAATGGGTTTAAAGATGCTGCTTTGATTCTTTCCATTATAGTATATGTAGTAATTAAAAGGGAACCCATTTATATTATTATTGCTAGGGAATCTCTGTTAATAATCTGATTTATAACAAGTTTATCAGTTATTATCATGCAGTATTATTTGATGAATGAAATGAATTTATCATTTAATTTTATCTTTTGAAAATTATCTTGATAGATTAAAATATACATTTAAAGTTTAAATATGCTGATTTATAAAATGTTTTGAAAGATAAATGACTAATTTTACTTATTTGTGTATTTCAAAGTCTTCTATGGCATTGCCATATTTTGTCTGGTTGCCTTAGTCAGGGCCTCAGTAACTGATCCGGGAAGACTTCCTGAGAACCCTAAGATTCCACACGGAGGTATGGTACTCTTCAGATTCATCAGTTTATTACGACAGAATTATCTTTATTAATATGTTTTATTACCTTTAGTATATATTAGTTATATATGTCATCTAACACAACTTTCAAGTTTTTTCTCAAATGTTTCCTTTTCAGACTTCTCTATTAATTTAAAATAGCAAATCCCAGCTGACTCCTCATATCCCTACTCCCTGGCTATCCTTTTCGGTTTGCTTGTGTATTGGTTTGTCTCTCCTCCCACTCTAGATCTGTATAATCTCTGTGAGGGTGTAGATTTGTTGTTTTGTTTTCTTTATTTGTTTAGTGCTGTCCTTAGTGCCCAGAACAGACTCTGTCACTTAGTAAATGATGAGTAAATATTTGTTGAATGACATATAATTATCTGAGAAATTATATTTTTATTCAACAAAAAAATTTTTGATGGTGCCATTTACCTCGATATAATATATTTCTTATAATGAATTATGCAGAATTATAATATATGTATTATAATATATTGCCTATATTTCTCCACGTTCTAACAATTCCATGAAAAATTTGAAAGCCTTTTATTCTAGTTTCAGTTGAAGGTAATTTTTAATCACCTTATTACATAGTAACCGTTCACACCACAAAAATGAGGTAGAGTGTATTGCTTGTTTTATTACATGCTGATATAGTAAACCTCATTTACCTTTTTTCTCGAGTTTCACTTTTTGATTATTTGCTCTGTAAGCTTTGAGAACTCTGTACTTTTTTTTTTTCCTGTGAACTGATATTTATTTATTTTTTCTTTTTTAAATTAAATTTATTGGGGTGACATTAGTTAATAAAATTTATAGATTTCAGGTGTACAATTTAATAATACATCATCTTTATATTGCATTCTGTGTTCATCACCCAAAGCCAAGTCTCCTTCTATCACCATGTACTTTCTTCTGTTAAAAAATTTATATGTCTTTGTTGTACATTCTAGAGCCAAAATACTTTTTATAGTAATTCAGTGGTTTCCATACTTGCTGCACATTAGAATCACCTGGGGAGCTTTTAAAAATCTCAATGTCTAGATCACATCGCATTAATTAAATTGCAGTGTGTTGCGGTGGGTGCCAGGTATCAGTATTTTTTGAGTACTGATCCTAGGTGATTCTAGATGATTCAGGGTGTAGCTGTTTGGGAAGCAGTAATCCTTTCCAAAATAATATTAAGCGGCAGGTCACTTAAAGAGCCTTTCTTTGAGTGTCTGATTATTGTTTTTTGAGACCCATCATTTAGGGGCTTGCTTGGCCTTGCAAGTTTAATGATTAAATGGGAATGATATGACACCGATGTTTACGTAGCTGTAGAAGTTTCTGAAAACTATGCTGAATATTTAGTTTTTATTATAGGAACAATATTACTACCACTTTGCAGAGTGTGTGTTTTTGTGGGAGAGTAACACTCTGTGATTTGTATAAAATCCCTCTTCTCAACTAGCCTCAACCAAAGGCTCTAAAATATAGATAACATGTATTGTCTACTTCAACTCTAAAACCCAATGTTCCCAGAAAAATCAAGCAGTCTTTTCCTAACTCTGAAGAAATCTTTATTTTGCAGTGGTCAAACACTCAGTGCCTAATGTGGCAGATAACTGCAAATCAGTGAATGGGGCTAGGGAGGAACTATTTCATATTGAAAAATCTTATAACTTTTCTAATGGAAGTGGCTGCTACTCAGCTACAGTGAAATTGTCATGCAGGCCTAGTCTTAGATCTGACAGTTTTTAAAGAGATAACAGGGAATCTTAATGTTTTTGAGAAATTTCATTATTTTAAAAAAATATTGGCAACTAATTAAAAAATTTAAAAACATTATAGACTAGTTAATGGAGGACACAACCTTGCTTAACTATTTGAATGTCTGTATTATATCTGGTCTCAATTGACATTTGGCCTGTTTTCTTCAGTGAGTCTAGAAGACTACAGATGAATAATTTTAGCTCTTTATTTACTTTTGCTATGATTTGGGGGAAAATTTGAAGTCATGTTTTTAGTGCTGGTTGCTTGATTATTTTGTAAATATGATTTTAACTTGTAAAAAAAGCCCAAAATTTTAACAGTGAAAAATAATATAATGACTAAAAAGTTGGAGCTATAGAATAGTGATATTTATTCAGCATTGTTTTAAGGTTGAGCACATTGATATAATTGAAATTTTTAGAAGAGGAAACTTAAATGCTAATACTTTTGTGATTTTATCCATTTTTTGAATTTAATTACTCTGAAGTAATTTACATGCCTTTTAAAAAAAACAAAACAATAAATTTAATATCTGTGTGACCCACCAAATATTAGGCAATTTGAATATAAGAGAACTTTATTTAAATATAAGAGAATTTCCATTTTCCCATGCAAAGATCCTTCGAGCTTGATTTTATAAACTTTAAGAGATGTAGATGAAAAAGTCAAATGAAATTATTAAATATATTATTTAAATTATTCACATGTATGTTCAAAATATAGAAATACTACATTTTGTCACTTTTAAATTTTATGAAATGATTTTTATTCAATGTCTTAACATTTTTAACAGCTTTTTTGAGTATAATTCACATGCCATGTAATTCACCCACTTAAACTACACGCACTGGTGGTTTTTAGTATACTCACAGAATTGTACAACTATCACCACAATCAGTCTTAGAACATTTTCATCAAACTCTTAATGGTATGTTTGACTTCAGTGTTTCTATCATCACTAGAGCTATTTTTTGACACGCTGTTACAGAGCAAAATCTTTTTCCTAAATTTTAAAAAATATAGCACATTTTAAATTTGTCTGATGCTCTCCTTTAAAATTTTGACCCAAGCTATAGGGATGGATAAATATGCTGTTAATGCTTAGGGTCATGTAATCACTCATAGTTTTGCTTTTTCCTCTCCTTTTATATTGCTTTATAAAAGTGATTTGTAGGATACTTACTGACATTTATTTCCTACAATGGCAACCAGTTCTGTCAGGGAACCTCTGTTAAGACCCAAAACTTGTATTGATTTCGGTAGTTTCAAGTTATATTTTTTCCCCAAAACACTACTCTGTGATTTTCAATGCAGTAATTGAGAAAGGGCCCCCTAATATACAAGTCATTTAAAAGATTCAAATAGAAGATGATTTCTTCCTTTCTGAGGGATAAACAAAACCAAACCTTGCTTTATATTCATTTATAGATTTACAGCATTAATAAGGATCCATGTTAAACAATGTAATACTGTTTACTTACATTAAGCAGCCTCAATCATTTATGGAGTTTTTCTTTTTTTCTTTGATTTATGTTTTGCTTTTTCTTTCCTTTAAAAATGTTAGTTTTTATTTTTTCTATAGCTACCGTAAATAGGCAGTTGGAGTCTCTCTCATAAGGCTTTTATTTTATCTTACTAAATGGCTAGTAACAAAAGTGCTGTAGGAAATGATCAGCCATCAGATTGTATCAGTTACCAAGGACCTCTTTGGACACGAATAAACCCTAAAGAAAGAAATGGAGGAGACTAATATGGTTTATGAGTATGTAGGATAGGTTAAGATGGATGGATTTTTTTCTTGCTATACAAGCACAAACATAGATTACACTTTTAATTAAGTTTCTAGATTTTTACAATAGTGGTTTTTACTTTGTTTTCTAAAAACACAGTTATGTGTGTGTTTGTGCTCATGCACGTGTATGACAATGAGATTTTGTAGGTGTTTCTCATTTGAGAAACTTGTATCTTAAATTTAGCAAAAGGAATGTCTCAAACTCTTTTTTAAAACAAATTTATGGTTCAGACCATAAATCGGCAAACTATTCTTTACTGTAAAGAGTCAGATAGTAAATATTTTCAGCTTTATGGACCATATAGTCTCTATCACAACTTCACAGTTCAGACATTGTGGCATAAAAGCAGCCATAGACAATACGTAAATGAATGAACATAGCTGCATTCAAATAAAACTTTATTTATGGATACTGAAATTTGAATTTCGTGATTTTTACATACCACAAATTATTATTATTCTCAATCATTTAAAATTGTCAAAACCACTCTTAGCTCATGGGTCACACAAAAACAGGTTGTGTCCTGGATTTGCATATGGACTGTCGTTTGCCAAATTGCGATCTAGACTACAGAATTATAGACTTTCTCTGCCTATAGCCAGATACTCTCTTCTCTTCTGAGGATAAATATTTTAAGTATGAATAAAGAATTTTGTTCTCTAGAATATTATATGCTAAAATTGCCAATAATGAATATACCATATTTATGTTTTAAGGGACTAGTTTAAGAACATAAAGTTTTTATGTTGTCTTATAATGAAAATTGGCTCACTGAGGAGAATCTTCTTTATGATTATATTTCTTCAAAGTGTTAACATTGGGATGTTTGGGAGCATCTAGTTAAGTGGGGAAAAAAGTGATATGCTTGTGACATTGTATTTTGCCTCATATGAAACGAGTTTTTATTTCACTTTCAGTAAAATAATACTAGTTTAACTGTATCTAAATTAAGCTTTAAAACTTGCTCTCTCACATGATTTACTTTCATTAAAATAAGAACTGTAAGTAGGAAATTAAAGAGGATTTTATTTTAAAATGAGATTTTAAATGTAAAAGATAAGTTCTCACCTTTCATATTATTGAAACAATTTTGATACAGGTTTTATTTATACTTCATTGATTTCTTCAGAGACATCTATAGCCGAATGTTTTTCCAACACTTTATAAAATTCCAATATATCGATTTTACTTCTGGCCATTAAAATAATAGAATTAAAATAGTAGGTTTTTCTTTAGACTATCGAGCACTACCTACTATGATCTTCTTTCACTTGAGTTTAGACAATTTGATTTAAAAATTGTAAACTTTTCATACTTTAGTAAGCACTTAGTGACTACCTACTGTGTGATAGGTTCACACTTTGCATATACTAATATTCACTCTGAATGGGGAGTTAGATTGATTTTACATACTTTTAATGAGGTCAGGGTATAGTTTAAACATAAGTCATAGAAGATTTAATTTTGTAAAAGTAAAATTTTATTTCAACAAATATTATTAAAATATATTCTGTATAACAAAGCAAGTTGTCTTGCCTTGGTAAATGACTTTCCCATATAGTTTTAATGGATCTGATTAGAATAATTTATAATGAAAGCACAAGACTTTTCTCTTTATTTCTGTAAACTTCATGTTTTTGGTACAAAACTTATTTATGTCCTCTTTCACTACAGGCTAGAGGAAATTGCCCTTGATGGTAGGACAGTTTTGTAAAGAAGTTTCTTTCCATTAAGTAGTAGTCTCGTAATCTTTTCACTTCTGAAACTATTTTAATATATCCTAAACTAATCTGAAATTCTTTTCAAATATCCCTCATAAACATTGCCAAATGAATTCAGCGATATTATTAAATGGCTTTTGGCCGAGAGTGTGAGGAGACAGAATGCCATCTCTGTTTCTCTTGAGTTTATAGGATTGATTTTGACTTATTAATCCATGAAACCAGGGCTCAGCATTATTCCTTCTTTAGAGCCTTAATAAAATTTCTAGACATAAATTTGTTTAAATAAAATTCTGTTTTAATATAATAATTCGATTGTACTTTAGGGTTTTGTCATTAAATTTTACTTATAGCAATGTATCTAAAACCCAGATACATTGTTTTCTATTCCTTAGTTTGACTACTGTCTTATTTTTATGGAGTTTAAACTTAGAAATATACAAAATCAGATATACATAGACTAGAACAGCAACATTTATGGCAAACACATTTATACTGGAGACTTAGAAGAAAAATTTCTTAGACATATATATTGAAGACTTCCTATAAAATCTCCTGTTAAGTTGTTGCTGAATTTAAACACTACTCATTTGCCTTCATTAAATGGATTTTAATTTATTTCTCTAGAAAGGGAGTTCTGGGAATTATGTAACAAGTGTAATTTGATGAGACCAAAGCGTTCCCATCACTGCAGCCGCTGTGGCCATTGTGTTAGGAGAATGGATCATCACTGTCCATGGTAAGAAATGAATAATTCACTTTTAGGGAAATAAACCTAGTAAAAAATAAATCTTAGTGCTTAGCACATTTATACAAAAGACGTATCAAGATTATATAGTTTTAAAAAATCTTTTAATAAGGATACATTTTTGATTGTATGGTCTGTGAACTCCCAAAGTCATTTTTTCATAGAGATCCTATCTTTTCTAACAAGGAGATATATGAGCAGAAAATTAAGAATTAACATGTGCTCAAATATACAAAAGACTTAAGGTGATTATGTTAAATGAGGTAATATATATAAAGCATTTTGTATACTGTCTGACACTTAGAAGGTACTTAAATAGTGGCTGTTATTGTTTCTAAAAGTAGTAAACCATATACATCCCATTGTTTGAATTTCCTTTCCCAGTTATTTAAAGAATAACACTTTTCAGGTACCTTGATTCCTCATTTTAAGCCTGTATTATATATTGGATATAAGTATTAACATTGCACACATGCTGGATATGTATAAGTGGAAATTAGTTGATTCTGCTGAACTGCCAACATTTTTGGTCAATAGAGGGCTCTCTTGTAATATTTAAAAATGTTCAGTTCAGAAATAGAATTTTTTAAAACAAATGCTATGAGAATTCTTCATTGTATCTCATTTCAAAGCTGTCACAAAAATCTGTGAACAAGATATTGTATTTAATTCTGTTTTATTTAGCATGGGATCTCTAAATATTTAAACTGGTATATTGTGTCACTTTATAAATATATCTATACATATATATTTATGTTTGTATACACATGCATGCACGCATACAAAGTTAACTACATAATGGGCTTCTTAAATTTATGACTGCATTTATCTAAAGTTGACTCAAAGGAAGAATTTAGCTTTGCCTAATAATGCTAATCAATTTAGAGTTTCTCTTATTTTCGATAGTTTATTTTAGTAGCATAAGTTGTTATTAGCAAGCTTTTAGTGGAAATTTGAGTTTTACTATAAACTGATTATTTAAATAGAAGGTAATTTTCCGAGATTAGGAAAAAAAGCATTTAGATAAAAGCACTTTGTTTATTATATCAAAAAGTTTAAAATTGTCTAATTCTATCAGCAGGATTATTATAGTGTATAACATACAGTTGGTGTTTTAAAATGTGCCTTGAATTTAAACAGATTAATTCTTTAGTATTTTCTACACCTCAGTGATCTGTTTACAATTAAAATAGTAATAGATTTTAAAAACCTAGGTAAAAAGGTAATAGATTTTAAAAACCTAGTTAAACAAGTAAGTGTAATTATACTGAAAAACTCAATTTTATATACTTTTTAGAGTCATGTTTCTGATTAACTAAAAATATAATAAATGTTCATGGTATCATGGATATTGATACTTCCTTTTATAAGAATTTAATAGTTTAAGCTTAAAAAAATACCAGCTGACTAGGAAATGTTTTGGTGCTATAGAGAATAGTGATATTATTCATTTATTTACTTTTAAGGAGTAAAGACTAACTTGATGACAAAATAAAGTGGTAGTGCCTAAACTCTAATTGAGGTGAGTTCTTTATTTCTAGGCTTCTTGCTTCCAATTTAGTCAACTTCTCAGTATTGATGGGAAGAAGAGTGGAAGTAGAAAGAATTAGAGGATAAGAAAGGAGGGTAGATCAGGGATCTGAATAGATTTAGAGTTTTTCATGATTGAATTCTGTAACAGAGCATTGCTGAGATATTCAGTGTGAAGGAAATGTGCAGTGTGAATTGGAAGCAGGGAGAATTTTTATTATGTTCAGAAACTGCATTGTTCTAACTGCCTTACAGCTTTAGGTTTGGAGGTCAATCCTCGGATCACATTAAGATTTTCTGGCTCTGATCACTCTTTCTGTGTATTTTAATTGTTTCCAAAAGAACTCTTACATATGTATATAGATTGACTACTTTAGTGTTTCTTAAAGCTCTTTGGGTAAAAAGAATGCCATGATCATAGCAGTTATTTCTAAAATTGTGGGGAACAGGAAGGATCTTACAAGAATAAGTCATCTTTCAAGCAGTAGCTGTTGAAGAGTATTTTTGAGTGCATACATAAACACAGTTCTCTGATAGCCTTGCTTGGAAATAACAGAACAGGAACTTTTCTTGTTAAAGCATGAGCTCTTAAGTCTAAGAAATACCTCTGCAAGGTTTTCTGTTCAGCTCTATATCTGATTTTAAAAAATAGTTTAATAACATACCTTTAAAACAACTTAAGTTAGGAATTGAACCTATTATATCGTTTTTTTCCCCCAGACAGTGGCAATGTATAATACTATATTGAAATAAAAAATATTTGTGCAAGGTAATTTATAGTTTTGAACTAGTGTTTTCAGCTGGAATTGTAAAATATTTTGGAAATTTGGGTACAATAAATTTTGAAACAAAATATTCAGATTGCTTTATCCTTGAACTTTTCTGATTATAGCATTAATCTTTTTTCCTAGTTATAGTTCACTATTGTATTGCTGGACGTGTAGCTCTAAGAATTTGTAAATAGTTTTGGATATGTGTTTATTTTCAGCCACCAAGGATAGCTTTTAAAAGTAAGAAAAATTGTGAATGCTTAGCAATTATGTCAGAGTCGCAGATTTAAGTTTTTTTACTTCACATGATTCAAATTGCTCTCCAAACTAGAATGTTGTAATCGATGAGCAATGTATAGAAGACGGTTCTTGTTCTCTTGGCCACAGAGTGTACGTGCTCTGGCACGTGTCTTAACTCCTTTGTTCCTGTTTCCATTTCAATGAGACAAGGAGACTGCCATCTGCTCTTCCTGCCTCACTGGGTAGTTGAGGGGGGATCATATTCATGGAGTACCTCTGTGAAGTAGTAAGTGCTTTACAATTGTGAGGTAGAGTATTTATATCTTTTCATATGCAATATTTGCTTTTAGGTTTGAGTGACTTTAGCATATCTCCATGAAGTTAAGCATATATGAAGTTCTTTGTTTTTATTTTTAGTTTTACCAGTTCTGAAATTAACATTTTTAAAGTTTAAAATAATTTTTCTTTTTTATTTTTTTTCTTCAGGATTAACAATTGTGTTGGTGAAGATAATCATTGGCTTTTTCTGCAGTTGTGTTTCTACACTGAACTTCTTACTTGCTACGCACTGATGTTTTCTTTCTGCCACTATTATTACTTTCTTCCACTAAAAAAGCGTAACTTGGTAAGAAATGTTTATATCCACTAATGTTAGAGCAGCTGTATCATACAGTTATGAACATGTGGTTCTTCTAAGTGCAGAAGATTGAAAATAAAAGCAACAACAATAAACCCCCAAATTAATGAATTTTAAGATGTATTGGAATTGAGAAAGTAGACCCTAATCTGACATTCCTTTTTAACCAAATCCATTTAAGATTGCTTATTAGTATTGAGTGACTTTCTTTAAAAAGCAACATTTTAGATCTTATAATATATATGTTTTGGTCTCAGATATCTACAGTAATGAAAAACAAAGTGAAAAATGTTAACTTCTTGTTTCTGTCCAGGAATAAAAATAGACATCAGAATTTTAAATGTTCTCTAAGGAACATTAGATTCTTGAGAAAAAGGACTCTCCCCCTCCGCTCCCCTATCTTTTCACAGTTAACAATAAGAATTTGCAGGATGCTTTAAAAAATTATATGTACCATTAAAGGCAGTGCTTTTCTTATTTTGTTGAGGAACTACAACAGATGTTAATAAGACTTGCCCCAAAAGGTGATAGTAGTGGTGGTGTTGGTGATAGCAGCAACTAGGAGTTTTAGGTCCTTGACTATATATATCAACCCTATGCTATGGGCATGCCATTTTAATACTCACTTTAATGCTCACAACAATCACATCAAGTGGGTACAGTTTCTTTCCCATTTTTATAGATGAGGAAACAGACTAGTAGGCTTTAAATAAATACTTACTGAAGCGATTATTCAAGTGTTTTCAGTTGTTGAGCTGGAATTTGAACCTAATCTTGTATTTTCTGAATCTACCCTTCTGTGTTTTGTGTGTAGAGCTGGGATTTGAGCCTGATATGGTATGTCATTTAGACTCTAATTATGTTTTTTAAAAAAACCCGTGTGTGTGTGTGTGTGTGTGTATCTGTGTTCATTTGCACCTGTTTGTGACAGAGAAAGAGAATTTGCACAGGGATGCAAATATGCATGTGAGGAAGCAAGTTTGGGGAAGAAAGAGGAAGAAAGAATCCCTGATGAAGGGGGATTTTTTTTCCTATTTGTATACTTTTATATTATTTAAGTCTTTTATATTAAAAACAAGTTCAGTGATGGTACATATAATTAAATTTTGGAATAAGGGCGAGAGTGAAATAAGTCTTTACGTTCTATGTATTTAGATCTTTCTTGTACACATTTTATATAATTAAAGGATATTTGCTATTGTTAACTGGGCTATATATATTAGTAGAGGCTTGTGATTATGCTTTTTAAATATAGATTGAGCAATTAAAATTAGATACTAATAACTGAAAAAGTTCAAAAGAGAACACTTCAAATATAGCTGCCACTTTCACACTGAGTATTTAGTGCTTGCTAGTACTACAGTTTTAGAAATTGTATCTTATGGGTTAATTTCTGATATAATTGGCACTATAGTTAGCATATGTGAAAGATTGTACATATTACCCCAAGTTAACCTGTTTCAAATAATTGAGCCTAATAAGAAAAGCATTAAAATAAAGTTTCCCAATAAGATTAAGGTAATAATTTTGATAGAGAGATAACGTTTAGTGACATTAAATTAGGTTCTCTAGGAAAGAATGCATTGTAGTATGGTGGAGGAATTGACAAACTATGGGCCTTCAGTTAAATTAGAACTGCCACCTGTTTTTATTAATAAAGTTTTACCAAAGCACAGCTACTCTCATTTGTTTACATATTGTCCACAGTTGCTTTTGTGCTACAACAACAGAGTTGAGTAGTTGTGACAGAGACATGTGACCCGATAACCCTAAATATTAACTATATGTGTTTTTATATTGAGTTTGCCAATCCCTGGTCGTTTGCTAACCCCTGGAATGATGTTGGCTTTGTAAACAGATAGACCTAGGATCAAAGCCTGGCTTTTATTATCTGTATAACCTTTGACACTTCATTTAACTTTCCTGAATTGCAATGTCTTCTTGTGAAAAATGTGAATAATAATAAGATTAAATATAGAGATAACACATGTAAAAGTACCTGGTATATTATAGACATTCAATTTATGTTACATTTGATTTTAATGAAAGCTCTCAGGAGGGAACAGTTTTTCTTTGGCCTATTAGATTTTACGAAAATTTTACAGACTGTTTAACAACATTACTGGGAGATAGATAACAGACTAGATACATTCCAATACTCACGAATATAATAATATTCAACTGAAGGATTAAGACATTGAAAATTACAAAAGATAATTTTCTTCTCCACATGTGAAAGATAGAAACCCTGGAAAAATTAGTACAAATTAGAAGAAGAATTTCTTTTTTTAAACAGAAAAACTGACTATAGGTGATAATATTTGAACACTTAGAATTATGTATATATACACACACACATCATACTAGGTGTTGAGAAAAGACTAGCATAGTAAAAGTTTATTATGAGATTAAAAATCTAGGAAGAAAATAGAAAAAGGGAGTTTAAGTTGGGTTTTAAAAATTCAAACCAGATTTTCCTTAGAGCAGTCAATTGTAGAAGCAATACAGATGATTTTTAATTTTATAAAAAATCATAATGTGTTAGTCGGTAGGATTACCAAATGAAAATCAAATAAGCAGCTAGATCATTGTAATAAAGCTACTTTGGTGTAATAAGCAGTAAATTATAAATAGTTCTAGGGACCTAACAGTTATTTTATCTAATAGTGCTAATGTCCCTTTAGCCCAAGTCTTATAGTATCCTTGTTGTTAAGTAGGATGCTTTTATAATTACCTTCATAATAGAGATAATGAAATTGAAACCCAAAGAGGTTATGTTACATTTTCAAGATCATTTAGCATCCTGTTGAGGAATCTAATATGTTTTAACCTTGTTTATGGTATATTTATGGTATATTCTCTGAATAAATGAAGTGATTTGTATATTATAAAGTTAGGTATATGAAGAACTTTAATGTTGCCCTTTTATGAATTTTTATGAATTATCTTTTCTTAATTTAAGAAAAGATAATTCATAAAATTAGAATGTTTGTTATTGGTGTTTCTAACCTACTTATTTTTACTAAAGTTAAATTCTAGGACCAGAACTTTAAACTTGAGGAAAATATTTTATAATTTAAAAAGCCTGAAATATTCCAAGGATCTGAAGCAAACTGAATATTCAGTAGCACTCAATATTCATTGAAATGAATTCTAGTCATTTCATTGGTTTAAATGTTGATAATTTGAAACTCTATTACTAGATGCATACAGTGTAGAATTCTAATGTTTTTATGGGCTGGATGGCTTGACTCTTGTATCATAAATTACACCTCTGTAGTAATGATTCTTGCCTTGAAGTATTTTTCTTTCTGTTATTAATTTGCAATATCTGCTTTCTTCTGGATAGTATTTTCATGGTATATCTTTTTCCTTCTACTTTAAGTCTTTCTCAGTTGTACGTCTTGTCTATGTGTCTTGTAGACACCAGATATTTCATTTTTTTAATCTAGTGTGATAATCTTTGTCTTCTAATTAGAATATTTATTTTTATTTAGTGTAACTGATACTTTTTCATCTTACTATTTATTTTTTATTTTAGCCATCAATTACTTTTGTTTCCATTTTTCTACTTTTTCTTTTACCTGCTTTGGAATTTTCAGTTAAAAAATATCTAATTTATCCCTTCCCATGGCTTTTTTTTTTTTTTTCTCTTCTTTTACTGGTTTTCCAGAGTCGTAAACATTCTTCCTTGATTTTTTGAGGTTGGATCTAAGTTAGTAGTTTGACCACTGCCTAGACAGGTGGCTTTAGAATGCCACCTGTCACCATCATTTTTGCTCTTGTGGGGTATAAAATAAACGTAGAACTAAAACACATGATGAGATGTTGTGTTGTTTGTATTTTATATGTTATAATGTATATGTTATATGAAGTCGGTATTCATTTGGAATTATCCAAATATGAATGCTTTACCTAGTCTTTCACGTCGTCATAGATTTCTCGACTTATTTCTAGGAATATTTTCTGCCTATTAATGCAAGTCAGGCAAAACAAATTCTCCTAGTTTTGTTTCACCTGAGAATATCTTCATTTCTCTTTTATTTTGAAGGATTTATTTGCCTGGCATAGAACTATAGGGTGGAGTTACTTTTACTGTTAAAAGGTGTTATTGCATTGTTTCATGGTTTCTATCATTTCTGTTGTAAAAATCACTTAGTCTTATTGTTACTCCATTGCAATAAAGTGTCTTTCTCTGGCTGCTTTTATGATTTAGTAATGTAGATAATTATTTATTTTATTTCAGCTTTATTGAGGTATAGTTGACATATAAAAATGTAAGATATTTGAGTTGTACATCATCGTGATTTGATGTACGTAAACACTGTGAAAGGATTCCCCCATCTAGTTAATACATCCATCACCTCACATATTTATCCTTTTTTTTCAGTAAAAAAAAAATCTCTTAGCAGATTTCAGTTATACAATACAGTTATTAACTATAGTCACCATATTTTACATTAGATCCTCAGACCTTATTCATATTATAGCTAAAGTTTGTATTATCCTTTTACCAACCTCTCCCTATTTTCCCCAACCCTAGCCCCTGGTATACTTTACTCTATGTTCCTGTGAGTTTGACCTTTAAAAAAATTTTTTTTTAATTGCACATATAAGTAAGTAATACCGTAGAGTATTTGTCTTTCTCTGTTTGGCTTATTTCACTTCATATAATGTCATAAAGGTGCATCTATGTTGTTGCAAATATTCTTTCTCATGGCCAAATAATATTCCATTGTGTGCATACATCACATCTCCCTTATCAGTTCATCTACTGATGGACCACTTAGGTTGCTTCCATATCTTGGCTATTTTGATTAATGCTGCAGTGAACATGGGAGTGTGAATAATCTCTTTGATATCCTGTTTTCATTTCCTTTGCATATATACCCAGAAGTAGAATTGTTGGATTATGTGGCGGTTCCATTCTCAATTTTTTGAGGAGCCTCCATACTGTCTTCTGTAGTGGCTGTACTATTTTCTTTTCC